AGGTGTATTTTGAGATTATCTAGAGACACTAAATTTTGCATTTCACAGACTTTTAATATCCTTTTGTGTCTCCATATAAAACATTTATCTGTGTCAAAAATGTTGAAGTCATTTGTAGATATACTTTCTTTTTTATTGGCTATGTTAAGAGTATTGACCTGTGGGAACTATAATAATCCCAGGCAATTTACTGTCTGGCCAAAAGTATCACATTTGCACATGATTTATTGATGAATAAATTGTGCAAGTTTAAGTAGCACTTCATCAATAAATGTTTTCCTTAGCTGTTCTGGGACAGAAATAGTGCATCCCTTCTGGACATATTATTATATGGACTTGTCCTAAATAGCTGAAAAAGCTCAAGCCAGTTATTCAATAACTAGAGACTATTATGAGAAACTGTCTTTGCCATGTTCAATGCAGAGATATTATTGAGAAGGTTTTCACTACCTCACTCACTCACTATTTTGCCCCATTAGGTCCTCAGGGAGAAAATTCTTTCTGCTTAGCACCAGAATCAGTTACACCCTGGTGAATGCATTATTTTTTTTCTCTTATAAAGTTTTTCCTCTCCCTTTATTCCCCTCCTTTTATTAAGAAATTAAGAAGACTTAAGCGAAATTCAAGGGCCACCTGCATAGCCCAATAGAGCACCACATGAAGAGTTTCTATGGCAATAATACACAACAGAAATTATTACTGTTGTCACTTTGTACTGAGTACTAAGTGCTAAGCACTTTATCTTAGATTTCACTCAGCATTCCTAACAAGCTGAACATCTGTTCTTTCATTTTTCCACTTCGATCAATGAAAAACTGAAACACTGAAAGGTTCATCAACTGACCCCATGGTCACCGAATAAGTGGTCAAAAAAAGTAACTGAATAAGTGGTCAAAAATAAGTGGTCAAAAAAAGACAGAACCCAAGTCTTTCTGATAACAATGTTTAAGCTTCTTACTGTTCACTTATTCTGTTTCCTTTCCTGGCTTATAAGTCTGCACCTTTGACTTCCACTTTTCTTTCACTGATAAAATAAAAGGAACAGAATTCTTTAGATGAACAGTAAGGCTCTAATAGTCTAGTTTTAAATCCCGCCGGAGTTCTATTTTGCTAGTTGGCCAAGCCTGTAAAGACTAGTGGGAAGTTACTTTCCATCAGTTTCTTCCCCAGATGACAGTCTTTACGTGAAGATGAAAGAAGGTATTAATACACAGGCACGCAGTGCAGAGAAGTAGTAGCACTGTAGCACTGTCCTCCTGTTGTTCATCGATTTGCTCGAGCGGGCATCTGTAACGTCTCCATTATGAGACTTGCTGTTACTGTTTTAAGTATATCAAATATGTCACAGGTAGCTTGCCAGGCTTTGCCATACGGGCAGAGAAGTAGCAGAGATACTATTAGGAAGGTTTCTTGAGTCTACCTGTTGCTGCTGTGTATGCCAGGAGGGTCTGCTTGACAGACAGTGAATTCTGCACAGACACCCACAAAGGAGGTGCTCAGCACCACGGGCTGACCTCCAGACTATATTCCAAGATAGAGTTTCCAACTATTCCAAAATAAAAAACCAGAACTCCCAGAAAAGTCTGCAATAATGATATCCTGTATTTTTCTCAAATCCTATATATGGTTTTATGTAACATTCAATATTATATAAAATAATATCAGTCCATAATAATAGGTATCAATCCATAATAATAAGCAGTGACTTTTTTCTGTGATAGGGATGTTAAAAATTAATATTTTGACAGGAAAATAATTCTACCATTTATATTTATCTCCATCTTGCGTTTGGTAGCAGGAAAAAACTAGAAGAAAACATCAATACAAAATACATGTTAAATAAGTGATATAAATCTACTTACTACTTATAAGGAAGGATCGTGAGGCCCCGCTTTCATGGTCTGTATTCGTACTGAAAATCAAGATCAAGTGAGCTTTTGCCCTTCAGCCCTATGGGAGGTTTCTGTCCTCCTTGAGCTCGTTTTACAAACAGCAGAGTCTGGCAAGCTCCCATTGGCATATTTGATATGCCAAAAAAAGTAACAATAATGGTCTCTTTCCCCTGACCCTGAAAGAGCCTCCAATGTGGCACTGTTGGGAAGGACGAGTAAAGAGAGGCTGCTAAAATCTCAGGGCTGGGACGAATGGAGACATTACTGCCACCCACTCGAGCAAATCAATGAACAACGAGGTGACAGTGATACGGTGATACTACTTAGAAGGTATGTTTCTTAAAATCACATTTTAAACTATACAAACATATTCACTGTCCTATTGGAATGCTTTGATTCTGGTTTCATGCAAACTTTCCAGAAATAAGAAACAAAACAAAATTTTTTTATTTTGTTATTGTTTTTTAAAATTTTAGACTGATGTAGTGACATCAGCCTAACTCTTAAAAAAAGGGTTTACCAAAGCATAGCTGAAAAGGCATTAGGGCCCATGTCCTAGAAACTAAAAATTTCCTGCTCAATGATAAACGTATTTTATCTACTTGCCCTGTTTAGTTATCAAAGTCTGCTGTTTTTGCTATTTTGGACTTCAGACAAGTCTCTGGTTTCCTGATAAAAGTCTTTCACAACACAGACTCACCTCTTTTCTATTTCTTTTACATGCAAAGGAAAATTGTAACACACTATATATACACATACACTTGCATTTATATGTGTATATGATATTGTGTATAATATGGTAAGCATTCAAAAACTGACAAAATGCTAGCAAAAAGTAATGGGTCCATTCTAATAATGTGAACATTCAGGTCTTTAGGTAAACCTGAAAAGGTCACATGAAAAGGTCACATGAAAAGGACACTTGTTTAAATTTCAAATGTAATGACTTATTTAATTTCAAACTGTTATTTCTTGGAACATAACTAAAAATATTTGTATAAAATCTTTTTTAGACTTACTAAAAGTTTTGCAAGAAAGCTCACTGTTAGCAGCAGACACATTTAGGGTATGGCACAGCTACAAGAAAGGCTGAAAGATCAGATGATGTCCAAGTCTGCTACTCACTCCCTGGTACTTAGACTCTGGTCAGTATTTTATTTTTTTAAAGAAACTTTACAAAGAAATGGTTGACAAATATAACATATATTTAAAATGTACAACCTTCTAATTAAAAATTTATATGTAGTGAAATGATTACAAGACCAACATAATTAACTGTTCTTGCTTTTCCTGATGTCAGTGGATAGCTTAAAACCAGCAGTGTCTTCAGAATTATTATTAAATTTTTATTCCACTAGAGAATTGGAATAATTTTTTCTGGTGTCCCAATTTATTGACTAACATATCTTGGCATTCAGGATTTAAGCAATATCTTTTTTTCCTGTCTGAGAAATTATGGAAACTGCAGTTGAGGACAAACTCTTAAGGGAAGGGAAATATTTTTCTTGGAGGAAAACTTGTGAAATATTTTAAGTACATCATCTTAAGAGAATAAGGGGGACAACGGAGCGATAGCACAGAGGATAGGGCATTTGCCTTGTACGCAGCTGACTCGGATTCAATCCCCGGCATCCCATATGGTCCCCCAAGCACCGCCAGGAGTAATTCCTGAGTGCAAAGCCAGGAGTTACCCCTGAGCATCGCTGGGTGTGACCCAAAAAGGCAAAAAAAAAAGAGGATAAGGGGGGCTGGAGTGATAGCACAGTGGGTAGGGCATTTGCCTTACACTCGGCAGACATGGGTTCGATTCCCAGCATCCCATATGGTCCCCCAAGCACTGCCAGGAGTGATTCATGAGTGCAGAACCAGGAGTAACCCTTTAGCATCACCAGGTGTGTGACCAAAAAAGCAAAAAGAAAAAAAAAGATGATAAGGAAAACGCATCAATACGTATTTTAGTCAACTATATTATATCAGACACTATAACCACACATTTTAAATACATTTTCTCAATCCTTAAACTAATCCTATCTGGAGGACTGATGAGACAGTAATACAATTTAAGGCACATGCAGCCAGATACCACCAGGGTGCCCTGAAAATTCCTCATCACTGTCACTGCAGAGCCAAGTAGTGCTGCATTCTTGGGCCCTTGCAGTGACCCACCTCCTGGGTAGCCAAGAATCACAAAAGAGCCCCAGCTTTCTGAACACCACTTCAGGGACTGGAGAGATAGTGCAGTGGGTAGGGCACTTGCCTTGTAGGCAGCCAACCCAGGCTCAATCCCCAGTACCCCATACAGTCTCCCAAGGCCCGTGAGGAGTGATCCCTGAGCACCACCAGATGTGATACCGCCCATCTAAGATTATAAAGAAAAACACTGAATACTCTCCCACACCATAATAATAATCCTATAGGAAAGGCATTAATTTTGTACCATGAGAAAAATTTAGTTCAAAAAATCACAACTTTTTAATAGTCACATTGCAAGCAAGTTGCACAGCCTAAAATTTAATCAAAGTCCAGTGATGACAAGTCACAATATAGCTGCCATGGTCTTCAGTCAGAGGAGAGGGCTTGTACCTGGCAGCCTGGCTGTTCTGTGTGGAGTAACATGATGCACACTTGGAACAGAAACAGAGTCGCTTACTTTTGGTCTTTGAAAGAAACACAATAACCTTGGAAGTCAAATAAACATTTCTGAGAAAAGATTTAATATAAATATTTAAAGCAGTACTCCCTCAGAGAAAGCTGCTGGGATAGAGAAGAGATCACTAAATCAATGATGGTTGGAAATGGGATGGGATGGGATGGGATGGGATGGGAGATGTGCACTGAAAGTAGACTAAGGACCAAACATGATGGCCTCTTGGTACCTGTATTGCAGACCATAATGTCCAAAAGTAAAGAGAGAGAGTTAGAAGGAAATTGTCTGCCATAGAGGCTGGGGTGGAGTTGGGTGGGGGTGGCAGGAGGGATACTGGGGACATTAGTGCAGGAAAATGTACACTAATGGAGGGATGGGTGTTCAATCATTTTATTATTGAAACATGGAAGCTTTGTGACTGTATTGGATAAAAAAAAATTACCCCTTCAAAAAAAACTCACTTTTAAATATTTCACCAGCTTCTGAATCTGCCAATATTCCGATGGCAAATCTGCATTTGCTTCCTGCCGATGATCAGGTGGTTCCTCGTCTTCCTCACTCTCTGAGGAGCTCTCACTAGTAACCTCCTCGAACTTTTCAGTGTTCTTACTGCACACAACAACAACAATATATCTTTATGCTACAGCAGATGGATATGGTGATCATGTATGCCAGCAACATGTACAAATGCAATGGATCAGATTCTAACACCTTCTTGAGTTCTAGAAGATCTTCCTAAAGATCTATGGGAGGAGACTAATAAACCAAATCTCCATAGCTCGTGCAATACTATATTTTTGTTTGTTTTTGGTTTGGGAGCCACACCTGGCTATGCTCAAGGGTCACTTCTGGATCATCCCAGGGGACCATATGTGGTAGCAGGGTTTGAATCTTTCTAGCCACAAGTTCAGTATTTTTTTTTTTTGCTTTTTGGGTCACACCTGGCGATGCAAAAGGATTCCTCCTGGCTCTGCACTCAGAAGATACTCCAGGCTGTGCTCAGAGGACCATATGGAATGCTGGGAATAGAACCCGGGTCGGCCGCGTGCAAGGCAAACGCCCTACCCGCTGTGCTATCTCTCCAGCCCCAAGTTCAGTATTTTTGCTCTGATGCAGTAATAATAAAGAAAGAAAACAAGAAGTGAATAAGAGGGGCTAGAGAAATAGTACAGCAGGTAGGGCAGGTGCCTTGAGCACAGTCAACCTGGTTAAATTTCCTGCATCCCATATGGTTCCCTGAGTACTGCAGGTATGATTCCTGCGTGCAGAGACAGAAGTAAGCCCTAAGCATCAGCAGGTGTGGCCCCAAAACAAAAAAACAAAAACAAAAAGGAGTGATAAAGAACATTGAGTGAATGTCTTAAGGCTATGTTGTGCAATGAGATTTCCATTAATCTAACTTGTGTCTGTTTATATTTACATTTATTTGAATATATTCATTTAACAAAAATAGAATATAATTGTTTAAAGAAAAAAAACCTTCATTCTCCAGTCATACTATATTTCAAGTGCTCAATAATCAAGTGAGGGGAGTGGGCTATTTCCCTGCACATCTCAGCTGGAAACCATCTTTATCACATAGTTCAATTAGGCAGGCTGCAAAGGCTCTAAAGAGAAAAAGTCCCCTTACCACACAACCCTTTATTTCTCTCTGCTCTAGAAGTTCCTTTTTTTTTAAAATATTTTAACAATTTTTTAAAAATTTTGATTAGTGAAACACCACAAGGTACAGTTGTAGACTTACAAATTTCTGTGCTTGGGTTTCAGTTATACAATGATTGAGTACCCATCCCTCCACCAGTGCCCATTCCCCACCTCCAATGCTCCCAGCATCCCTCCCACCCCCCTCCCCCCAGCACCCCACCCCACCCCTGTGGCAGGGCATTCCCTTTTGTTCTCTCTCTCTTTCCTTTTGAGTGCTGTGGTTTGCAAAAGAGACATTGAATGGCCATCATGTTCGGTCTAGAGTCTATTTTCAGCATGCATCTCTCATCCTGGGAGGGTCCTCCCAACACCCTTTACTTGGTGCTCCCCTCTCTATCTGCTCTAGAAGTTTCAACTGAGTCTCATGGATACAAACAAGGTGGCTCAAGCTCAATCTGTCTATTTCAGTCTCATTCTCTTGCTTCTGCTCTTGTCCAAGCCCACTGGAGGCTCTCTTCATAAGTCTTTTCTAGTTTAATCCATTTTAAAGCACAAGAGAAGGATAGCTGTTAATTTTTATGGATATATATTCATTTTTAAGATTCTTGATACTTTTGATCAAGATTTTTTGGCATTCAGAGTACCAACTCTTGCCCTTCCAAAAAAATCTGGTGCAGACTTGTGTGGCAGTGTTCTCTGCATCAGAATGGAAGTGACAATTACAATTCAACAAGCCATGTGAGACTAATTTCCATCTCATGTATTCTCTCTCTGAAAGATGTAATGAATGAACGTGTTGGTTACAAGAAAAACACCAAGGGTCAGATTTACTGAAGAAGTGACGGGGATCTGTTCAGGTCCTAGTCTGAAGCATATACCAAACAATACTGAATGTCTTGACAAAACCCTAAAGTGACTTCCCTCAGCCTAACAAACTTCTGAACATCTGGAGTTGAAGACACAGGGCATTAACTTGACCCATTAACACCCAAATTGTGTTAAAAATCATTACTCCATAGGAAAACTATTCTTAGTTTCCACAGATAAACTCTTTAACATTTAACTATGAACTATTTCCTGCTTTTTATAGATTCCTCTCCTGCCCCGACCAGAGCAACTATAAGTTCAAAAGTAGAAAGAAGATAACTTCAATGTTCAACAGAGTTGGGAGCTACACCCTCAGATTCTTGCTGCATTGTTACATCTTAGGCAAGATTAGTTATAAAGAAATCACCAATGATAATTATATCATTGAGTAATAAGGTATTAGATATATGGTAACATTATTGCATCTATTACCCTGAAGTTGTATGATTCACCAAAATACAATTAAAACAAAGCAATGATGAGCTCCTTGGATTTTCTTCCTGTCTCATACATCCATCCCTGATGGAGTACTAGAGAAGTCAGAGGTGCTGAAACTCTCATGGTGCCATGGAAAACAGGTAACTCAGAAGAGCTGCTTTTTTTTTTTTTGCTTTTTAGGTCACACCTGGAAACGCACAGGGGTTACTCCTTGCTCTGCACTCAGGAATTACCCCTGGCGGTGCTCAGGGGACCATATGGGATGCTGGGAATCGAACCCAGGTTGGCCGAGTGCAAGGCAAGCGCCCTACCCACTGTGCTATTACTCCAGCCCCCAAGAGCTGCTTTTTTAAATTAAAGACTGGAAAGAGTCTAACAAGTAAGAAATAAATTTTAAATTTCAGTACTGTAGGATAAGCATCAACTTCAGGAAGGTTGAAACAGGTATCTCCCTATTCCTTCTAGAACAGATGAACATATGACAGAAGCATAGAAACAAACATGAAACAACTCTGAAAAATGAGGGGAGAAGAAAAGACAATCCCAATCTGGGGACCTGAGAAACAAAGCAGTATTTATCTACCATTCTTCTAATAGGGAGTTAATATCCAAGATACATAAAGCACTTCTAAACTTAACAACAAAAAATAATAAACCCATCAATGAATGGGGAAAGGAGATAATAGTTCCTTAAAGAAGACATACAGATGGGATCAGAAAGATAGTACAGATGCTTAAGATGGTTAAGATGCTTGCTGTGGATAATCCCTGTTTGATCCTCATCACTGCATATGGCTCCCCCAGCACTGCCAGGAGTGATCCCTGAGCACAGAGTTAGGAGTAAGAATAAGCCCTTATTATAGCTGGTTGTGGCCCCCCCAAAAAATTAATTAATTAATAAAAGTAAAGGCCCTCCCGTTGATCATCGATTTGCTCGAGCGGGCCCAGTAACGTCTCCATTGGAGACTTTGTTGTTACTGTGTCTGGCATATTGAATACATCACAGGGAGCTTGCCAGGCTCTGCCGTGCGGGCGAGATACTCTCGGTAGCTTGCCGGGCTCTCTGAGAGGGGCAGAGGAATCGAACTCGGGTTGGCCATGTTGGCTGCGTGCAAGGCAAATGCCCTACCGCTGTGCTATCGCTCCAATTAATTAATTAAAAACAAAAAAATCTATTCAGTCCTGCTTTGGAATGGGAGCAGGGTATAGGAGTGGTTAACCCTTTATCCATTGTTGGTGATTCAACCTCTTTAAGAAAATATGAACACTTTTCAAAAACCTCAGAATTGAGCTTCTATATGACCCAGCAATTCCACTTCTTGGCATCTAGCCCAAGGCTCCCAAACACTCAAACAGACATATGTGCCCTTATGGTCACTGCAGCACTACTTACAATGGCCAAGATATGGAAACAAGCCAAGGGCCCAAGAACAACCATAAGCATACAAATACATCCTAACTATAGGCACCTAACCACTCAACAACCCAGAAACAACTCCAGATTGCAAAACTCACAATGGTAAAGCAACGGAGGACCCACTGTATAAACAAATTGGTATACCTACAAAATGGAAAATCATTTGCTATAAGAAAAGATGAAATAATGCAATTTTATGGAGCGATAGCACAGCGGGTAGGGCGTTCGCCTTACAAGCGGTCAACATGGCCAACCCGAGTTCGATTCCTCTGCCCCTCTCGGAGAGCCCGGCAAGCTACCGAGAGTATTCGATATGCCAGACACAGTAACAACAAAGTCTCCAATGGAGACGTTACTGGGCCCGCTCGAGCAAATCGACGATCAACGGGAGGGCCTTTACCTTTACCTTTATGCTATGTGAATGGAACTAGAGGTTATTGTGCTGAGTGCACTCAGAAGGAGATGGACAGATTCAAAATAATCCCTCTCATATGTGGAATATAAAAAAAAACATAGTAGAGAACAAATGGCCAAAGGCAAAAGTAGTGGATGTTGCACAGAACTGAATTTACACAGCGGGGAAGGGTCCTTTGGACACTGGTGGAGGGAAACAGACAGACTGGAGGTGAGTCGCACAGTGTTGGAATAATGCATGCACAAAAGTATTATTAACAATGTTCTAAATCATGACATCTCCAAAGTAGGGGAAATTTATACTATCATGTTTAATTAAAAAAATAAAATTCTATCCCTGAGGTTGAAAACTAGAAAGGTTGCTTATTTTGTCCACTGATATTCAATATAGACTCTGAGACTATAAAAAAACAGCTCCCGGAGGAGAAGAGCGCAGTCTCCTGCCCCCGTGCCTGGCTATTCCTCGCCGGGGCCCTTGGAGGTGAGCGGGTTGAGCTTTCCTCCCCTCCCTGGCCAGGGTTCCGGCAGCCGAAGACCTCCAGAACCAGCCACCACCATGCTGAGACCACTCTCTGCACACCTGAAGGTACCGGCAGAGGGACAAAGCCACGTGGGTTCCTGGGCCGAGATCTCCAAGCCTACTCGGATTGGAGTCGAGCATCCTCCACCCAGATCCTCCAAATTCCAGTAGGCAGGGGTCACACCCACCAACTGGCCCCCTGACGCCGTGTAATCCCATCAGCGGCCAAGACTCTGAGACTATAAAAACCAGCTCCTGGAACTGTGCGGCCGCATTTGCGGCCACGCGACATCTTATTATGACATCTCA